CAGAAGATGCTGGCTCTCTTGTTTCCGCATGCCCTCTTTCTCTAAGATCCTAGCTGTGGCTCTCCCAGACACAGAAGGCTTGCTGCTACCATCGGGACTTGGAAGTTGGGGGCAGAGTCAGGCTTGCCAAGCACATTGTCACCCACACCTGCTTGTAGATTTTGACCCCAAGTTAGATTATCCCAAGTGCTCAGCGATTCAAGGACCCCAGGTAATGATGCGTGCAGAGCCAAGACCTGCTGCCTACCTATCAGCCACTAGGTCAGAGCCTCCACGCGCACAGCCTACTTTTTTTTTTTCCTTTATTCTCTTATGAAAGATTTATTTGAAAGTCAGAGCGACACAGAGAGAGAATCTTTCATTTGCTGGTTCACTCCCCAAATGGTCACAAGAGGCAGGGCAGGGCCAGGCCAAAACCAGGCGCCAGGAACTTCAGGTGGGTCTTCCACGTGGGTGGCGGAGGTCCAAGTGCTTGGTTCGTGTTCTGCCTCCTCAGGCACGCGAGCTGCATTCCAAAATGGGATGCCAGAGTCACGGGTGGCAGCTTAACTGGCTGCACCACAACAGCAGCCTCCGTGCTGCCCACCCTGACATCTAACTGTTCCTGACACCGTCCATTCCACCTCCTCATTGATGATTCAGACTTAGGGTAAGCAGCCTGTAAGGCTGGGCCGATAGATTCGCGCTGATCACTGATGCCATGACAGCTTTGCCACAACAAATCAGCAGCATATGTGTGAGCACAAATACACGCTCACACTGTGAACCTTGATGGCACCAATGATAGCATTTTTTAAAAAAAGATTTATTTATTTATCTTGGAAAGGAAGAACTCCAAATAGAAGGAGAGACAGAGAAAGTTCTTTGACCCACTGATTCACTCCCCAAGTGGCCACAAGGGCTGGAGCTGAGCCGATCTGAGGCCAGAAGCCAGGAGCTTCTTCCGGGTCTCCCAGGCAGGTGCAGGATCCCAAGGCTTTGGGCCATCCTCTGTTACTTTCCCAGGCCACAAGCAGGGAGCTGGATGGGAAGTGGGGCAGCCAGGACACCAACTAGCACCCATATGGGATGTTGGTGCTTGTGGGCAGAGGATCAGTCAGCTGAGTTGTCGTGCCAGCCCCCAGATTTATGATTTTAGTTTGTTCTCCATGCCTGAGATTTCTTACAAGGCAATATGGATCAGTTCACTGACGGTCACTTGTTTTGTTTTGAATATGCAGCTAGTATCACTCCGCTCATTGGAAAAATACGAAAGCTTAATAACCGCTCCTCCTACTTCTCAGAGTTGGCGTGAGGAATCATATCATGTGAGCACACGTGCTTTCAGCAGCAGCACTACTGCACCTGTTAGCACGGGGCTTGCTGAGGGAGCAGATTCCCACCGGGCCTAACAAACACGTGCTACGATGCTGTGGCTCTTTGGGTTTGAGGTTCACAAGGCTGTAGCCTGGCAGAGCAAAATTCAGAGAGAAAACTTCCCAGAGGCAGGAACAGGTGCACAACCCATGCTGAGAGCAGCCCTCCCTCTCCCTGGCTGGCTTCTCAGCCTCTACAAGATGGGTAAATTCCATCCTCCCAGCAGGGAGAGGACGACACACCCCTTGTTCCCCACCACCCATGGACTGAGGGGTTCACTGAACCCACCCACAGCCTCTCAGGCCACCCAATCAGAAACAACGAGGTCCCACCTGGGAGGGTGCTGGGCTTCCGCTTGCCTCCATCAGCAACCCACACAGAACTTGATTTTATGCCTTGCTGGTCATTGAAAGAACAGAAAGTTCTCTTTAGCATGCATGGTGTTTCTCTTATAACCAAGTGAAGACAAATGCTGTGGTGTGCTTTTTGCACACTCTTGCTGCAAAATCTTCTGGACTTACAGATTTATTTCAAGGTGATTGTTATTTAGGTTCACTGGAGTCAGACTCATTCCATGTCCTATCTATGCAGAGACGTACAAATCCCAAGGCGCAGGAAGGAAGATACTGTTAAAACAGGAATCCTTACCTTTATTCCATCCAGACGCTATGAACTGGCAGATTATATAAAAGGCCAGTGGGTTTGCCCCATCCTATGATTCCCTTCAACATTTTAGAAACTCAAGCTAGAGGGGAAAGGGAAGACTCACATACCGGTACAAGTCATGATTTACTTGGCCGCCATCTAGTGGTCAATGTTGGAATGTCCCTAAAACCAGTTCCCAGAAACCTTCAGATTTTAGCCAATCTTTAAAATTGAAAAACAGAGTGGATTGAGAAACATTACAGCCATGAGGCAGTTCTCCTCTTATACATATCACAAAGCGGGGTTTATTCCCTTTCCTGTAGGCTAGTGTGCATTCATTCTCCATAGAAATAAAACTGAATTGTTCAATATTAAAGTAGCCCTTGGTACTAGGACCAGAATAGAGAGGATACGGCCCTTGCCTTCTATGGAGGGCAGTTACAAAAGCAAATAATGAATTCTGTGATGGTGGCTTAGCAGAGGCATCAAAGGGGCATGTGGGACAAGGAGGAGAAAATTCAGCTCTCCCACCTGAGACCCCCTGAGTTGATCTGAGTGATGAGAGAACTCCCCAGACACACACTGGAAACGGCACGTGGGAGCGCCGTGTGTGGCGAGCCAGGGAGAGACACCATCAGAAGTACCAGCAGAGGCCACATCGGGAAGGGCCTTGGAGGCTGCATTAGGGCAGGATTTTCAAAACACACAACCTCAAAACCTTGGCAGCGTCTAGTGAGCAGTCCTTGTTTCTCACTCGTGATCCCGGGGAGTCTGGGGGGCAGTATCTCATGTGGCTCTCATCCCGGCCTGGAGCCAGCCTGAGACCCGGGAGTCAACCTGGACGTGCTCACGTCACTTAGGGAAACACAAAGGGAAAGCGAGAAACACGCCAGATCCTTTCCCATCTGCATGTGGAGCTCATCAACTGGTCTTTCCGACCAAAGCAAGACCCTCAGCTGAACCCATGTCATGGGGCAGGGCAACGCCTGTTCAGTAGGAAGACTTGTCGAGTCTAATAGCAAAGGACTCGAATGGGGGGGCGAGGTTGGGACATGCTCCAAAGTTCACCTTAGAAGTGTTGAGGTCTGGCACCTCCATCTTTGTCTAAAAGATAGCTTAAAAAAATCACTGTGGGGCCTAAGACAGAAGCCTGGGTCTGAGCTGTGGTGGGTAACCCCAAGAACGCGAGTGGACAAGTTTCTGGGCTCCGGCCCCCTACCAACTAACTCACAGTCTGAGTAGACCGTGTAACTGATCCTCCATCACACTGAAGTTGGAGAGAAACTGATGGGTAAATGACAAAACAGAGAGAAGGAAAAGGGGAGAGGGATGGTACGCAGTGGAAGGAAGCTGGGTGACACCAAAGAGAAAATGATTCTTTTAAAGATCCTAGTGGGGGAGAGACGAAAGACAACAAAGTGATGAGCAGAGAAGAAACCTAAATACATGTGTGTGCTAAATCGGGAGCTTGGAAGGTGCTGGGCCAGCAAGGGGGCTCTTGACAAAAAGGTTTTGATCTTGTACTATCAACAATACTGACACATCCCACTCAGCTGGACTGCATAGGAACGCCCTTGTATTTGAATGTTGTTCCCTCAAATGTACTTGATCATTTAAACACACACAATCTACAAGAAATATTTTTTGGATTTACCCTGCTTTGGAGAATGCTCCACAATGGGTCCAACCACAGAATAGGGGCTATAAGACAAGGTGAGACCAAGAACCAGGGTTCACTGGAGCCTAGACCAGTGACTGATAAATCAGTGAACATCGGCCTCCTGAGTGTTTTGTCTACACGTGTCGAAATCGGCATCAACTGCCTGGGTCCCATTTCATTGCCAGCTTTCTCCCTCAGAGAGCACTTGAAGTGATATCTTTATGTCCGGTGAACATGATAAAACAGCCATGAGAGGCATTCAGTAGCATTTCTAACTTTTAAAAATTAAAACTGAATTCTAGGCCTTAAATGTTGCTTCTTCAGATTCTTGGAGAAGGAAAACCTAAGAAATATAGCAAACTTAAAACACAGAAACAGATCTCCTCCATTTCTCTTCCTCTCCCTCTCTCTCTCTCTCTCTCACTCTCTCCCTCTCTAGACTTTAAAAACTAAAAACAAAGTAACTCCCTCTGCCACCAGCCACCAGATAGATTTGAGCCTATCTGCTTGCCATGCCTCCTCCCCTTTTCTGCATCACCATGGAAGTTGAAAAGGACAATACTTCTCATGCAAGACAGGAAAAGGTGGTAACCCCAAGTGCAGATTATGGTACAAACTTCATTGGTTCAAATCCTGATTCGGTCATTTAGGACCACAGGCCTCCAATAATTCACCAAACTCACAAAATGGAGAATAGCACTAGTACCTCTTCTAGAAGGTTCTTCTGAGATCAAATAAAGTATGGCTAAATTAGAAAAAAAAAAAGGAGCTTGACCAACAGATAACACAAAATAATTGTGAAATACTATTACTGTGTGCAAGGATCCTTTAACCAGTCTGTATGGGAACACTTATTGCCCGATTGTTTTCAAGTATGAAAACAACTGAAGTTGGGGCACGTAAAAAAAAGTCATGATCCAAGCTGCAGAAAGACCTCGGATTTCAAGGCTGCTTGCCCTGGGTAACCTCAGCCAAACTCTAAAAAGTTGTATCTCTAAGAGTGCATGACCACCTGACAGCAAAACCTCAGCCAAAGAGATGCACTTGATGCAGAGTTTCAATCTCTCAGGTAGAGACTTGCGAGAGCCTTGGAAAACATCTACCTTTGGGGAGAGCTTGCTCTGGCTCATCTTGTCGGAGTCCAGCTTTACTAAGAAATACACTCTTTGGTAGTTTCTGATTGGTTTTGCTCGTTGAGGCTTTCAGTCTGAACATGAGCCTAAAAACTAAATAAATAAATTAAATAATTGGATGCCTCTTCAAGGAAGCATGTGAGGCAAAGAAGAAAAACCCCTCTCGTGACTCAGCCTTGTTTTTCCCCCCTCGGTATCATTTGCAGACATGCAAAACCTGGAGAAGCTGCTGAGAGAAGCTATCATCCAGGGGCAGCCTCGAACCCACAGAGCTTGGAAGAAGATTCTCATTCTGGTGGAAGGCATCTACAGGTATGCAAATAGCGGCGGCACATTAGCATCCAGCATCCAACATCCGGCAGCTGACCCATGGGAAAGGATGCCCTCTCCTAGCTTCCTGGAGGAACAGGTTAGAGATGGCTGTTGCTGAGGGAACAGAGCTGGGCCTGAGTTCACCTGTGCTATGACAGCTTGATGTATCCAGCCGGTGGGGCTTGGCATCTGGCATGCTGGCAAGGGCTTCCTCAAGAGATCTCCTCACAAGAGATCGCCTTGATCCTTTGTCTTACTGTCCAGATACCCCAGCATGGTCCTTGCTTTTATGTCCGTAGTAAATATTTCAATGGGGGACCCAGAGTCCCCAAACAGGACAGTGCGCCCAGCGTCCCACTGCTCACTCAATTTTGGCCAAGGACTGGCTTCAAGATACAAAAGGCTCGCTTACTTTCAGCAAAGGAAGACTGTCCTGGAAGGCAGGTCTTGCTCCAGAGATGGGGAGGGGGAGGACCGATGATGTGAGAACTTCAAGACGGAGGCTCTACCTCAAATTTCCCCATCCCTTTCATGTCACGCATGCAAAGACCCACTACACCATCCAGACCAGTATTTTCACACCGCAGGTCGTGCTTGAATGTACTCCAGTCTGTGTCCAAATCTGTGGCCATTACTCCCATGCACAGTGTGGCCAAGCATTCCTAATCCAGAAGGCGAGGAAGCAACATTTCAGAGTACCCACCCCTGAATAACTTCTCAGAATACCTTTGTATTAGAAGAAAAATGTTATTTCCTACGAGGCAATTATAGACAAGTGAACACTATTAAAAAGAAGGAAGTGGGGCCTGTTGAAATTTCCTACTCAAAAAAGACTGTAGCTGTACGTGAGACATGCGAACAAAACTCCGATTTCTCCTTGGGATCAGCTAATCTGATCGGTCTCTAAATGCCCATCATGTGTGCCATGAATCCCAAGCAGCAAATAACAAGCCTGGTATAACTTTTTTTGTTTTAGCTTTAAAATGTACTGCCCCAGCGGCTGATGTTTCACATGTGCCCAGTGCTATCATGTGGTTCTGAAGTTCATCTTTCAAATTTCTAGTAATCCATTTTCCGTATTGTTAGTCAATAGCTCCAGAGGTCAGATCAGAAAAGACGCCCTGCTGATAATGTCTTTATGATAATGCTGTGCTAGTAATTTTCCATTAAGATGATTTTGTCTCTCCCCTTACCCTGGGCATGTTTTCCATGATGGTGGTAGGGATGCCACTAAAGATACTACTGTGCCCGAGAAAGCCCTCCAGCCCAACAAAGTTTTCTCTAACTCAAAACTGCAGTGGTGCTAATGTCGACAACCCCTGCTCCGGAATCAAGTACTCAGTGGCCCTACACTTGCTGTTTTCAGGAAGTGACTTCAGTGACTTCAGGTATCGCTGTAACCTCAAGCATGGGTCATTCACCCTGTGTGATCTGGGTCAGCTGCCAGCCCCCAGCTTGGGTAGGGAGCCAAGAGTCATTGCCTAAACATTTGTCATTCAAGCTTGGGCTAGTGGAAGAATGGATGGGCTAAGTGAGAGCAGACTGGGCATCTTCTTTAACCAGAGTAAACAGAACCCAACTGCAAATAAACAGAGCTTGGCTCCACTGAAGGAAAGTTATAGCTAAGCACTTTGATCAAGGCTGAAATGAAGTGGACCACCAGCATGCTTCTGTCCATAGAAAACAGGGACTTGTTGAGGGCATGCTGAGTGTGTCCTGCGGTGACATCAGGACAGGTGATCCAAGTGCACACTCTCACTCCTGAACCACCACAGCACCCACACACAATTTAAGTTGCACTAGCAGCAATGACTGCTTGGGCAACCTTTCATGTATCCCAAACGGCCTAGATGCATAAGCAATGGCTTATTATTCCAGTGCTACCATGGGTTGTCTGAACGAGCTAGTCATTTGCCCCACATGCGTTGGCCGGGGGTCAACCGAAAGCTTAGCTGAACTCGTTCAATGGTCTCACTCCCATGTCTGTTCCCTGGTACTGGCTAGCAGACTGGGGTGCTTGATTCTCTTCTACATGGTTTTCTATGAAGTGCCTTTTCTCATTCAGTTCTCCTGGCTAGACCCTCTTTACAACATAGAGGCTGGCATCCAAGAGAGCAAAACAAGAAGCCAGCAGTGTCTTAAGGGCTACACTTTCATGTGCTGTTGGGTGCAGCACCCCTTCTGCCATGCGCCACTGCCATGGCCACTCAGAGCATGAGGCCAGCCCATAGTCAAAGGCAGCGGAAAGAAACCCCGCCTTCTGATGGCAGTAGAGCATGGGTAAGGGAAGACTTGCAACTGCTTGTCTCTGGAAGCCATCTGCCTCAACATCTCCAGCAGCCAGTGCAGTCTACACTGACCATGAACTTTGTAAGGGGGTTCCTTTTTATCTCCCTCCCAAGGAATTTCATCTTTAAATGAGCTCAGAATCTGAGAGACCTCACTGACAGGTGAGAGTCAAACTACTGCTCCAGTAGGCCTTGTTGGCACTTAAGAGTTTGCTTTCCTCGTCGGTGAAATAAGGCTAGCCCGGCAACGGGCCAGACCAAACTCCAAAGGAAAAACCTCCAGTTGAGGGTTCTGATTTTCAGCTCTCACCAAAATAGTTTCTCATAGGGCTCTCCGGAGGGCTTGGGTTAGGAATGTGAAATCGGCAGTTTACAAATGCACTTTCACTTTTTAGAAATAGATCATGGACACACACGTTTTAGATGCCTGCTCAAAGTTGCCCTCAAAGTTTAACTCTCACATTTTTTTATGACTCCTAAAAACAGCAGTCAGGCAAATCAGAACATTTTATTCATGGACAGATACTGAGATCAAGAAGACAGTGAATTGCATAAAAGTTAATCATAATATGAACAATGCCACCCTCCATTGGAATTATGATTTGTATGCAGAAGAGAGAGAGGGGTTAGAATGTGGAAGGACCAGGATTTGAACTCGAATCCTGGTTTCTCTGACTACACTTGTGCCCCACCCTCCACAAGTACTTTTAAAAAAATCATTGAAAATGGGACTTCAATATTCGTTTGTTTTGTGCAAAAAGAGATGTGAAATCCTTGAACACAAGGGCTCTTCAAAAAGCTCATGGAAATTCTATATTATGAAATAATCACTCCTGGACGTCAAAAAAACTTTTTTTGCACCAAGATAAACTTAGCTTTTAGTTCCACTTCCCAGGAACTTTTTGAACTACCCTCATCCATTTGTGGGTATTACATTAGGTCACATAGAGGTACTTAGCAGAGGCCTAGTGTGTAAAAAAAAAAAAATCCCACATCCAAGGGTGACTTCTTTGTTACATTTATTTTCAACTGACCAAGTTGCACCATGGAGGACAATTTTGTAACAGGACTGTTTGCTCCCCATCTATTCAAGGACTTAATGATTTAAATCTAGATTTCTTGTCAACTCACAGTGGTTGAAAAACCTCAAAATCAATCCAGAATATTCCACGGCAAACAGGTCAATGTTAACCTGGGATGTGAGCTGGCACTGCCAGAAGCAAAATATTGAAAATGAAAAAAAATCAAGGAGTAATGATCCTTTCTGAAAATGCGTAGATGAACATGTGCTAACAACTCGGAATGCCATGTCCTCTGGGAATGTGAGCCAGTCTCCTCCCCAAAGCAGTGTGAGCATGGGAGTTGATCATCTCAGCAGTACGCACACCTCGATGTCAACGTGAAAACAGAGAAGGGCAAAGCAGTGTTAACTTTGTTGTTAATTAGTCTTGACTCCTGTTTTGCTCTTTTTTCGCCTGCCTCACCAGTTGTGGGTTAGACTTTGGGCCCACCAGAGAGATTTTTCCATCATGCAAGTTGGCCAACTGGTTGGTTAATTCCCAATCCTGCCAGTGGATAATGCAGTTTACACATAGAGGAAAAGGTGGCGAGAGGGAGGTTTCGAGAAGGAGTCTTGTCACTTAGCTAACACAGTATGTAATAGAAAAGATGTGAAGAACCAGCTCACTGGTTTGCTGCTTTAAGAACATGTCGAGGCCCTGAACAGACCTTCAAATTAACTGGGAGAATTATCCTTGCCCTACAGTTGTACTTTGGTCCTTTTTCTTCTGTTGAAGTCAAAAGAAAAACACAACTTTCCATTCAGGAAGAGAGAATAAAGTGCTGTGTTTTGACAGAACTTCATGGGAATATCACAGACAGCCTTTTTATGCAAGTGCCAGACTTGGTGTGCTAGCATAGGAAAGGGTTTGATTCGCATCTGGTCACCTTGAGCAAATGAAAACTTTGTATGAATGCATGCAACTTTACAAAAGCTGAATTCTCCCTAGGATTCGCACATGCCTCTGCATGAACTCCAGAAATCAGCAGTATTTTACAGCCATTAATCTTAGAGAGTGAAATAGAAACCAGGTGGGCAGGTCCCTAACATGAGCTGGACCAGCCCCACCGAAGGATGGCTAATTAGCTGCCCAGGGTGTCTATAAACACTGCTCAACATTAACCTTGGTTCCTGCCACCATTCAGTCCCAGAACAAAGACGAGCTATGTGCAGCCTATCAGGCTCTAGTATATTTGTGTTAAAGATGAAAAGAAAACTCGAATTCTGAGAGCCTGAAGCCATGCGTTACCCTTGACACGCACAATGACACCCACAGGCCTCATTCCTAGAAGATCCCGCGCACAGCATGGCCAGGAGCGCCCTGGTTTCTTGGGTTAGGCCCCCCAGCAGGCTTCTCCTACGTGCTCCATCCTGAGAATAACAACTGACTGAGTGGTAATTACAGACCCGAATCTGACTTAACACAACTGATTTCCAGTAGGCTTCCATCATCATGCTTATTTTTTTTAAATATTTATTTTACTTGGAAGAATTAGAGAGAGAGAGAGAGAGAGATTCCATTCTTTGGTGCTTTCCCCAAGAGAGAGAGAGAATCTTCCAATCTTTGGTGCTTTCCCCAAATGGCTGCCATAGCCAGAGCTGAGCCAGTGTGAAGCTGGGAGCCAGGGCTTCTTTTGGTCTCTACTGTGGGAGTGAGGCCCAAGGACTTAGGCTATCTTCTGCTGTTTTTCCCAGGCCTTTTGCAAGGAGCTGGATCAGAAGTGGAGCAGGTAGGACACGAACTGGCGTCCATGTGGGATGGCAGTGCTGCAGGTCTAGGTTTAGCTTGTTACACTACCACACTGGGCCTGTATCATGCTTATTTTATATGTGAAAAAAATCTAGCCAGGGAATACTGACTTCTTTATTTTTGCTAGAACCAACCTACCCCTGAAGCTTATTTTAAAGAGAATTTAAATCTCATACACTACTCAGGAAGTAGTTCAATGAATACATAACTCATACAACCAATTACTGCATGAACGGGAATCGAAGGGCGGTTGGACCAGCTTAGAAAGTTCCCTTGTGTGGTACGTGTGCAAGTCTGTGTGTTCATGGCACTTGCTTGTCAGTTTGGTCAGAACCAAGCACGCTGGAGCACTGATTAGAACTGCAAGTTCTTTTTAAAGCCATTGAGTTCCTGAGGTGCCATAAAATATTCATGCTAATTTTACTCTTTTACTGATTCTACATGTTTCTCCTTGCTAGAGCTCTTGGAGTGTTTGGCAGCTTTATTATACCATAAAAACTGAAATACTTAGGGTACCAAAGGCCTCATCTCTGGGAACAGTCCTCCAAGTACTGTCCCCAGTCGCTGGGAAAAGCAACACCAGGAAGTCTGGGAAAGATGTAAATTTTCAGCTCAGATGGATTCAGAACCTCTGGGGGGACAGAGCCAGAATCCTGCATTTTAGAAAGCCCTTCAGGGAATTTACATGTCCAACTTCTATCCCACTGTTGCTAAAGAGTACGAAAGGGAGACAGCATCAGGTACCTCAAGTTAGCTTTTGACTTTCCTTTTCTTTTTTTAAGATTTATTTATTTTTCTTGAAAAGGAGATATACAGAGAGAAGAAGAGACAGAGAGAAAGATCTTCCATCTGCTGGTTTACTCCCCCAAGTAGCCACAATGGCTGGAGCTGAGCCAATCTGAAGCCAGGAGCCAGACACTTCTGGGTGTCTTACATGGGTGCAGGGTCCCAAGCTTTGGGCCATCCTCTGCTGCTTTCCTAGGCCACAAGCAGGGAGCTGGAAGGGAAGTAGAGCAGCTGAGACATGGACCAGTGCCCACATGGGCTCCCAGCACCTGCAAGGCGAGGATTCAGCCATGGCGCCATCACACTGCGCCCAGCTTTTGAGTTTCAAAGGCTAGTGAACAGGAGGACCCTGGGACTTTCTGACTGTGCTTCAGTGCATGCTAAGGTCTGAGATGATTTCCTTTTGCATTGTTAATCCCTTCCTTTAATCTTAGGTCCATCCATGCAGAGTTTGGCAGGTGGCAGGGGAGTCACTGTAGAGCAAGGACCCAGCATCCCAAAGTGTGGAGCAGGAGACTGACAGAACACACGCACACACCCCGCTAGGAGGGTACTCTCTAGTTCTGAGCATTTCTCCTTCTGCCATAGCATGGAAGGTTCCATCGTGAAACTGCCCCAGATCGTGGCCCTGAAGAAGAAATACAAGGCTTATCTCTACGTAGATGAAGCACACAGTATCGGGTCAGTGGGCGCAACCGGCCGGGGAGTTTCAGAATTCTATGGAGTAGACCCTGGAGATATTGATGTGCTCATGGGCACATTCACCAAAAGCTTTGGCGCTGCAGGTGGTTACATAGCCGGAAAGAAGGTAAGAGCGAGAAGTGTCTTGTGTCTGCTACCTGAGCACCTGGGGACCCAGGCTGCAGGCTGCCCTGAATCCTGGGAATGTTTGCATTTGGTCCCCTTCACCTTGGCTGAGCGCTGCAGCTCAGCAACAGTGCTGTCAAAGCCGGGTGAGGCCCTGAACTTCAAAACACTCACTCTCCTTGAAGAGGGCAGCATGGAGTGAATACTCACTTTACAAGAAGGTGCCAAATGCTCCCCAGGAGCCAGGACAAAGGACAGGCCTAACCGACTCCGCAGGGGTGAGTGGGGAGGGAGGTCTCCGGGATGCCTTGCTGTAGACTAGTGCATTTCACAGAGAGGAATCAGCCCCCCCCCCAACCCCGGTCATGGGAGCGACAAGGGGAAGTTATGGGATCTACAAGGAGTTCCTATTGCGTGATGAGCACGAAGCATCTGTAGGCAAAGGCTGGGTATTAAGGAGGCTCATCTGATGCTACACGCTCTCCGTGTTGAGGATTTTCTTTAGAAACCCTAACCCTAGCCCAGCATCAGGAATGTGTGTGGGCACTTTCATGGAAAGTGGGATTACAAGAGGAGTGCATTTTGCGCAAGAGGAAATGTTGACATCCATACGTACAAGGGATCTTCAATATGTTCACGGAAGTTGCATATTATGAACAACCTATGCAGGAGTTTTAGTATTTTATAACACCATAAATTTATCTTTCAATCTATTTTTAATAAACTTTACGAGCTCCCCACTGTACTTTAAGGCTGTCTCCTTTGAAAAAAATAAATAAATAAATAAAAATTCTTACCCATAATAGTGGGTAAGAATTCTCTAATCTGGTACATGTATATGTCTTTAGAGATTGTATGCAATGGAATCAGACTTGTTAAATGAGTGCTAGTCCTGTTGCTCTAGTGGCATTAACACCCAGGGGTCTGTGACTTTGAAACTTTGTTTCAAATATTTATTGTCCTGATGAGTGCTAGTCCTGTTACTCTAGTGGCATTAACACTCAGGGGTATGTAACCACAGGACAATAAATATTTGAAACAAAGTTTCAAAGTAGCAGGGCTGGCAGGGAGAGGGTTTGGATACAGCATCCTCTTGGGACTCCCACTTCCTGTAGCAGAGTGCCAGTCCAGTCCCAGCTGCTCCACTTCCCATGAAGGTCTCTGCTAATGTGTTCAGAAAACAGAAGATGGGCGCCTGCTTCCCACAGATGGAGCTCCTGGCTCCTGGTTCCTGGCCCAGCCCTGGCTAATGTGACCATCAAGGAGTGAACCACTGCATAGATCTCTTTCTCTCTCCCTCTCTCTCTCTCTCCCTCTGTCACTCCATCTTTCAAATAAATAAATGTGAAAATCCTAAAAATGAAGATGGAAAAGGAGGAGATGACAGAGATGAAGAATAAAGAGGAGGAGGAGGCGGGTGGGAAATAGAGAAGAAGGCTTAGTATTCAAGTCAGGCTAAGAGGATAGGGGAGTCAGCAGTCCACCCTCTGACATGCCAGCCTTGTCCAAATCTTGACGGCAATTTCATACAACCCTACGTCTGTCCCCAAAGACTGTGTGACAGTGAGGTTGGTCACCCCAGATGGCATAGCAGAACCCAAACCAGAACACACAGATAGCATCCATGTTTAATCTAAAATCCTCCATTCCTTGCCCATGGTGGCCAACAAGACTCCTGACAAATCATTTTCATAAATCAAGGAATGGAGCAGAAAACAGGCTCATCCTTTAAAGCCTGCAACTGATAACAACAGATTTTGTTCTGGCCCACCTGCCCTGCTGTGATCCGTGCGGATACTGAAAACACTCAGAGTTTTTAGCGGTCTTTGGCCATCACTGAGCTCTGCCTTCTTCCAGGGTCCCGGCTTTCGGTGTTTGTCCTCCCTCCCTGGGCCTGTGGGAATTACCTGGGTCATGCCGACAACACAATGCCCGCCCAGGTTTTAGACACATCCGCTGAATCTGCCTGGACGCTCCCTTGCCAGCCGTGGCATCCCTCAGACTGCATTGCTTTGCAAGCATCTGGCTGTGTGACTGCTAATTCTGGGCACACACACAAAAAAAATTTAAAGAAGCATGATCCTGTCTCCTGAATCAAAGGCACCTGAATAAACTAAAACAAGCAGATCCTTGAGATGTTGTCAGATTTGGTAGATGCCACATTTTTCTCCTTTGAGTTCTTTGTTCTGCACACACTTTAAACCCAGGCCAGGGGCAAGCAGAAGTGAAGGCTGACTCCCCAGGGTCCTCGCGCCCAGTCTCCACCCTGAAGTCAGCTGGAGGATTTAAAAGTATAGGCGCTCTTGTCTATCATCCCGTGGATTTAGGGTGGATACTGAGCAGCTGTAAAAGTTATGATTATTTACGTTAATGTGGACACAGAGAAAGAACATCTGTTCCGGTTAGTGCCCCTGAATGTACTCATTCTGATCTTTGGTTCCAGAGGGCTACAAAATCCATCCCTTCTCTTCCTTAAGTCCCTCCTATTCTCTGGTCCTCCCACTCTAGGTTCCCATGCAAACTCTGATCTTACCACTAGATGGCAGAGTACCATTAGCTTACACAGGTACCAAGCCTGCTCCCCCAAATCCACAAAATAGAAAATGGTGAAAAAGTGGGGACCTTTCAGACCCGGATGGTAAGAGACAGCAAGGCACTGGAGAAAGTTGTTTGTATGTGTGATGATTTAAAAAAGCAGTCAGGAACACGCCTAACTGGAATGGTTTTGGTGAGACGGAAAACCCAGATGAACTGGTTTCATCCTGGTTTAATGAGCCAAGAAACCTATGATGTCATAAAACTTGGGTAACTTCTCCTGGGTAGCTTAATTCTTTTAATTATGTTCATTTTAAAGTTTGTTTATCTTCAGTTCCAATGATTCATTTTACTCACTTTGAGGTTTTTGTTTTTGTGTTTTGCTGTTTTTCAAACAGAAAGAACATAAGATTTGGCAACTAAAATGATTTTAGTTTGAGGACCACTCTTTCTGCTGATCTGTTTAAATACAGTTGCCAGGGCATCATGTGTCCCGACCATACCTCTTAGACATTCTACAGTATCTGCAACATCTTCAAAAGCTCCTAGCAAATACCTACTTTGAGAAAACTATGCAAGATTTTCAGAAAAATCTTGCATCAAAATAAGCTGTTATCTCTTAATTCCATTCTCCACAAACTTTTCCATGTACCTTACCTTTGCATATATTATTTTGGCAGTTATTGCAAAATATCCAGGATTCTAAACAAACAGATACAAAACAACCAAGTGGACCATAGAAGTGTTCAAGTGCGCACACACACACACACACACTCAGACTTAGCTTTTTTCTGAAAACCTACCTAACTCCCGTTTCCTTATGCTCATGAGGATTTTAGTAAATCTTGAGATTTGACAATAATCACTGGAGTTCAAAAACCTAGAAACACACACACACACACACACACACCTGGCCCTTCTTTTCTGAAAGATTATGTCAACATTGACTAGAGGGATTCTATTCCTAGTAATATTATCCAAGAAGTTCTAGAAATCTCTATGCATTGGGCTGAGGCCAGAGCTTTATACAACAGCAACCAGAAGACTCGGCTGAGAAAACTAGCAAGGGTGGAAGGCATCATTTTGATGCCGTGATGCTGCCAGAGTACAAGTTCTGTTCTAACTGAAGACTTCCCTTCTCCAAATGCCATACAAGTTCATCTCTGCTAATTACACCATCTGCAAGCTGTAGCGTCCTTCCACCTAAGGGAAAATGACAAAATTGTCTCTCAGAGAGCCAGCAAGGAGCATCGGTAGTCAGGATGCATTGTCCACAGTCTCCGTACGAGTGGCTGGCTGGCTGGTGACTGGGCCTCCTGCCCATGTAGAGCCTGGGAGGAGTGCTGATGGTTCCAGCTGCTGGGTGCCTGAGTTTCTGACCTTCAGCCCTACACTGCTGGCATTTGGGGACTGAACCAGGAAGTGGAGTCTCCTGTCTACCTCTCTCTCTTCTCCTTCTTCGCCTCTCCCGCCCTCTCCCTTCTCCTGCTCCTCTCTTCCTGCCCCCCTCCCGCCCCTCCATGAGTTTTCATGTCATTTGCCTTGAGGTTAGAGCTGCCGCAAGTGCACTGTGAATAACCCTACTTGGTGGATTCTTGATGATTCTGTCCATTTCAAGATCTTTCAGTGAACTGCCAGCAAATTCTCTCTACCTGCAGAAGTCCCGGGTCATGAGTGGCATCTCTGTAGAAGGCTAAAGCATGTGGGGCCAGGTTGTTGTCATTTTGATTAGTTGCTGTGGAAATATGGCTATCACCAGAGAACGCCACCTTTTGGTCCAGCCGTGGATCCGGAGTTGTCATGCATACCTGGTACTAACCACTGGATCCCGTGGCCTCAAGAGGCTGCCCAGAGATTTGCAAACGAAGTCAACAAAGGAAACTGAGTTTTCTGGGCTGGAATTCTCCAGGCGGGAAGTGAGGCAGAGCAGCCAAGGTTGGGGTGAGCATTAGCCCCAGCACTGGGCACGCCAGGCCCTTTGCTGAAGGCAGCTCTGCCTTGGGAGCTTGGCCCCAGCTATGGTTAACAGCACTTTGAAGTAAACAGGGGTCATGGAATGAGCACCAAGATGTTTATTCTAAGAGCCTCCTGTCTGACTTCCTGCCCAAAACTCACCCTTGCCCTGAACTCCAGGACTATGAGTAAAGAAAATAATCTGAGCTTTGAACTTAAACATGGACTTGCAAACCTCAGGCTTAAGGAGACCTCTAACCCACACATGGAGGAAGACACAACCCAGACTCACCCTGGCGCTGAACTCAAGGCTCACCACACCCAGTGGGGACATCAAGGAAGGGAATGAGAAACGAAGCATCACGGCTTTTCTTGATGAACTCCAGCAGTTACCCCAGAATCAGCTACCACCAGCAAACAGATCCCCAGGGACAGCCGACTCAGTCCAGAAGGAAGATAGTGGTCAAGTCTTGATGTTGAAATGGAGGGATCCTGGGCCAGTGAGCACTGATCTATGCCAAAAATGCTCAGGCCCTTGACTTCAAGATATGTCTCGATTTCAAAACAAATGTAGCTTTGTATATCACCCCACCCCAGCCCCACATATACACACTGACATACTTCAAGGACCCTCGCCATCCTTCCTCTCTCTCTGAAGCCTGTCATCTGCCCTGCTGAGACCATCAGGATGTGCCAGCCTCTGCCCTAGTCCCCTCCACTGTGGATGTTGAGGGAAATGTGTAATGCCATAGCTGCTCCCAAGGACACAAACACCTGGACCTCAGGTGCCACTGCGTATGGTTCCATATTAACTACATAGATCAGCATAAACCAGAAGTTCTCCCCAATGCCTCTCCTCTCAAAAGGAGAGGAAGAATGTCCATGAGCTTGAGAAAGCATCACAGGGTAGGCAGGTGTTAAGCTTGCATCTGTGGCCTCCCAGCTCCCCCGGTCCCTTGGCTTGGGGAGGAAAGTCAGGGTGGTGCTAAGAGTGGGAAATCCTTGCCCTGTCATCTGTACAGGATAATTTTTTGAACGTGTCTGTGACTCCTGTGTCCCATCTGCAAAAATCAGGACGGAGAGACATGCAAAGTCCTTGAGATGAAACCATAAGCAAGCAATGCATCTCAGCTGTAATGTTAGCTTCCAAGCCCACTGTTGTGTCACAGCCTTTCTGTCTGGGCATTCTTTTCCTCAAAATGGCTCTCTTCTGCTTTCCTCTCACTCTCACTGCCACCACCCCAATAAGGATTGAGGAGCTGAATTGTAAACCATTGGTATGACATTGGGGTCTACCAATATGCAGTAAGAAAATCGTAGCACAGAGACAGTGATTGGCTCATGGTTACATGGCAGCAGAGTCAAGCCAGGATTCGAACCCATGCATTTGGGTTCAAGATCCTGTGCTGGTTCTCCTGGGCCATGTGTACATCATCACCTTATCTCAAAGGCCCAAGCTTTTATGCTCAGCCAGCTCCTCTGTGCTTTGCCTAGAAGATGCCATTGGTATTCCTTCTCTGCTTCTATCCGGTCCCTATCCCTTCCAGTGCTCCTGTCCCTGGAGAATAACTCCATGGGACAATATTTACTCTCCATAGAAAAAGACAGTGCCTGCCTCTGCCTATTACAGGTGGAACATCACTGTGAAGGGTGGCCAGCTGCCACAGCTGATTGCCACATAACTGACACCTTAAGTGGAGCTGGCATCATGCCCATCCAAGAGGTCTTCAAGAAGTCCATTCAAAAAAGCACACATGGATTTCAAAAGAATGTCCTTCAAAATAACTACTTTTTAATTCCATTTTCCATGAACATTTTTTAAAAAGCAGCTTATTCGAAGGTAGAGTAACAAAAAGAGAAACAGTGAGATCTTCTATCCACTGGGTCTTACTCTAAATGCACGCAACAGCCAGGGGTTGGCCAAGCTAAAGCCAGGAGCCAGGACTCCATCTGGGTCTCCCCCGTGGATGACCTGGAATTGAGTACTTGAACTGTCTTCCATTGCCCTCCCAGGTGCATTAGCAGGGAGCTGGATTAGAAGTGGAGTAGTGGGGACATGAACCAGCACACTGACATGGGATGCCAGCAACACAAGCAGCAGTTTAACGAGCTGTACCACCACAACAGTCTCTCCATGAGCTTGCTGAGGCAACTTCATGCTCTGCAAATATGACAATAATCTGCCTCGCTGTTTTATAATTCTTTTCACCAAACAAAAAATAGGTAGAAATTTAGTTTTACTAATATACGTAGATTGTGGATGCTACACACTAGCCTTCTTCATCCTTCCTCCCCCTTGTGGACTCCAGCAGCACTGTTCAGAGCAACATTTTCCTGGTCGAAGCAGATCATGTGACCAGCCCATATTCATCCATCTCTTGGAAGTTCCTGCCTACTTGGATTGCAAAGATGGATGGCACAAGAAATAGAAATGATGCAGCTTTTTTTTCGGTGGCGGGGGGGGGGGGGACAACAAACAATTTACCTTCTGCTCTCGCCTTTCCCCTTTATTCAACCTCTCCTTCGTGCCATTCCATTCCCTCACACTTTCTAAACTCTGGTTGCAAAGTGAAATCAACCCCATCTCCTCCCTGGAATCTTTGCCATCTCCTCCAGCAGCAGCCCTCACTCCTCTGCCCCCGGGGACCCCGCTGTGGCTACTTTGCCCACCACTACTTCTCCATGGGGACAATCATCTGCAGTATTTCCAAGGACAAGGACCGTGTCCTGGAGGTTTCTGGTACTCCTTGACACCAAGTCAGCGCCCTCGCACAGTGGGCCCTTTTGCAGACTTCAGAAATCACTCCTCCTTCACACACCTGCTTTGGCCTTGCAGACTTCGACTGCAGATGTGCAGCCTGCCATTGTTTGCATGGCTTGTAGGCTCCAACGGGAGAGACGAAGAATAAAGGGACAGAAAATAGCACTTTGATGATCCCCATTAGAAGTCATCTTTGGAGCTTCAAAACTCCAATATCTTTTGTTTGATGGATGGAGCCGAGATTAGATGCAGTTCTCACCACTGAAATCAATTTGCCTTTTTTTGCTCCCCCCTTTAATTAAGGATCTTGTGGATTATATTCGGGTTCACTCACACAGTGCTGCATATGCAACGTCCATGAGCCCTACAGTGGCAGAGCAAATCATCAGGGCAATAAAGTTCATCATGGGACTGGACGGCACCACGCAAGGTAAGATGGCCTGCTGAGCACCCAGCTCCCGTGACTCCCCTCCCTGACTGCCCATCTCCAGTCTTTTCAAATTCACGCCTTTATCTGACGTAGACTGGGCAATGTGGTTAAAGTATCAAAACTGCTATCAGCACATACAAACACACACACACACACAGTTCCTTTGTTAAAGCCAACTTTCTAATCCATCACTTAAGGTGATCAATAGGTTTAGATCATTTTTTGTGATTAATTATATTAAAACAAAGTAAACATTTTATGTGCATATGTAAATGCACGCATGCATGTATTCATGCATGTTGGACTGTGGATATGCCTGTCTGTGTACATGTGCTTGAGGTTCAGTATGTTTATGCTTGTATTTACTGTGGAGGACTCTGTGTGTGTTTGTGTGTGTGTTTGTGTCTGTGTGTGTGTGTGTCTGTGTGTGCCTCAACTTGCTTGGGATCGTCACTTATGTTTCCCTGAAACCAAAGTAGTCAATTTCATTTTCAGCTTTTTTAAAAATCTTTTTCCAACCCCCTGGCCTCCGGAGGATAATTAGGGAAAACATCCACAATAACTTTCTGGCCACTTTTTGCCATTAGGATCACCTCAGCTAATGTGTATGATAATGAATAGATTAGAACTAACTCCTAAAAAAACAAACCAAAAAAAAAAAAAGCCTGTTTCCATCAAAGCTTCTTGGAATTTCTTCTATCTTTCACACATGCCAGGGAAGACAGAGATAAACCAGCCTGTTATTGCAGTCAGGCAAACTGTTGAATTTTATGGAGCAATAGTTCTGTCCCAGAACTAGGCCTTGGGCAATACAGTCCTGTGCTCCGTGCCACACGCCAGCTCATGCGAAGCCCTACACCATTCGACTTTCTCAACAGACACATGAAGCTCTCAGCCTTTCTCAATATGACAGAAGCAGCAAAAACGGTCTTCATAGGCGAGTGTGGCCAGAGACCTTCTACAATCTGAAAACCTGCAATCTAAAATGCTCGAAAATGTAAAATGCTTTGAGCGCCAAGGTGACTCAAGTGGGCAATGCCACATGACATCATGTGATGGACCACAGTCCAAATGCAAGAGCCCTAAAAATATCGTATTAATTACCTTCAGGCCCCGTGTGTAAGGTAAATATGAAACAACTGAATTTCATGTCTAGACAGAAGGATCTCATTGTAAATATGCAAATATTCCAAAATCCAAAGCACTTCTGGTCCCAATCATTTTGTGTAAGGAATAATTAATCCATAAAATATACAAAACCTGGTCAAAGTGGCGCCTCCCTTTTCCAACTGCTAGCACCCAAAGGCCTTCTCCCTAACTCTGTGCTACTCAACACACTTGGTCCAACCCCAATATAGAACCTGCTCTTTTACAAAAGCAGGGGAATGGAAGGCATACACAATTCCATACACAACACATCCTTCAAGGATCTGATGACCATGCCTCTGTGTGAAAAGGAAATGACAGCTCCAATCGGGAAGGCCTAAAGGGACAGACCAAGGTGGCTGCCTGGACTCAGCCCCTGGAGTATACTCACACACTGTGTGGTCGCAGACAAGTGACTTCTCGGTTCAGCCCCTACGGAGTTACCAGCTTCTCTGTGTTTCCATTATTCCAGCTATAAATAAGGAAAATGATACCTATGACTCAAGGTTTTTTCTGAGAACAGGGCAAATTAATCCATGTGAGGCACTGACAATCCTGTCTGGAAATCGTTTTTTGTAAGTGTAATATAATTGCTTACCCCTGAAGTATTTGCCATTATTTCTAAAGTGTTCTGGAAGAATCTTTTAACGCATTTATTTACTTACTTATGTATTAAAGAAATGAATAGAAACAAACAAGTAGATAAAAAAAGAGAGAGATCTCCCAGTTACTGGTTCACCCCCTGAAATACCCTCAACAGCCAGAGCTGGAACAGGCAGGGCCAAGGCTATATTCCTGGAATTTAATTCAGGTTTACCATGAGAGTGGCAGAAACCCAGTCCTTGAACCACCACCACCTCCTGCCTCCTGGAGTGCACACTAGTAGGACGCTAGAGTCAGAAGCAGAGGAAGAACTCTGACTCAACACTCCCTGATGCAAAATTCACGTGCCCTAACCGGTGTCCTAACCACCACGTCACACAACTGCTTCCCAAGGAGAACTTGATCACATCTCAGGGATGTAACAGGAACAATTCGTAGGACAGAATGAAACAGGAGTGGATCTCCTCCAAGCACCCAGATTACTCCGGATAAGCTGGGTCATGCTGCTTGAACAAACCCTGGAGAGCTCAGTAACTTTTCAGAACCAGGATTTATTTCTGGCTGGCATCAAGGCAATTAATTCCTGGCACAGTTCTTGTGCATGGGGGCAGTGATGTGGACTGCTCCCCGCTTGAGGCCAGGCCCTCTCAAAACTGAAAGGCTGGGTCCACCTGGAAGGGATGCTGATCACTGCTTCCAGTCCCTTGGCCAGAATTGTTCGTATAGCCATGCCAGTGAGAGCTACTAAGGTGTGAGACATGGACATCAGATAGGCAGTTATCGCCCACCACTTAAAACTGAAGCCACACAGAGCTGTGTGAGTTGGCAGGGGGTATAAAGAAGCTAGTGTGGGGCCACAGGCTCCTTCCAGGGCTGTGGTATCTTCTGAACTTCCAAGGGAAAACCAACTATGTGAGATTTATGCAAAACTGCAGATTACATATACTGTACATAATGACCAGAACGATTCTTTGCTCTTATTTTAAAATGAATAACGAGGGGGGGAAAAGTCCCATTCCAAAAATTAGCTTATGTGTCAGGAAGGATTTTTCAAGAATTTCTTAAAGCCCTTTAGAACTTTTGTTATTAGGATCCATTGATTTATATGCTTGCGGTTTTACAAGGGTTCTCTCCCCTCTTCTCGTTTGCTTTACTTATTCATTGCAGACAAAACTTGTTCTGTTTGATCACCTTGGAAAATCAACAGAAAATTGCATTTCAAAATATGATCATTTGTCCCTCCACCATCATCTATTATGCGTGCCATCTATCAACTCTGCTACAGTGAGAGCTACTTCTCCTGCTTCTTTGTCTTAGCTTTATACTTAATTACTTTGATATTTCTCTTAACCTTGCCATCAAAGCTTTTCATTTCACTCTTCTTTCCATCATGGGGCACCAAAAGCAAAATAAAATCAGAAAATGCTTTGTGTGCAGTTTGTTTTCTTAGAATAAAAGCAGGAAGACTATAGAGAAAGACAGTACAGTTTCTTTTCAAAGAAATGGACAAAGGAAAGTAATAGACTAGAAGATCAAGACTCGAGAGCCAAATTTCAGGTGGCCCTGCCTGCCATGCCTTTGAAAGAATTCAAAGGAACAAAGTGAATGGTCATGCTGGCCTCGCTTACAACAAGGGCTGTTTCAAGTGAGAAAGACAGGCTGGGCATATCGCATGAGCTGACCCTCTGTCCGCAGAGATGGGCCGACTCTCCAGTGGAACACATCTAAAGCTCAAAGGGATGCGCTGTGTCCTGCCAGAGCTGGCTTACAGGCTCTGAGAAAGAGACCTGCTCCAAGCCTTCATCTCGGGCCCACTCCGGCACAACTGTGACTGGAGCCTTTCAAGGCTTTGTGTCGAGTTGAGTTTGGGGAGCGCTTGGCCAGATCTGTTTCTTGATGAATGTCTTAGCTTTAATCTGCATTGCAAAGCCATAGGCTTCAAAGAAAAGCGAGCTACAGGAATAAGGTCAGTGTCGCTTTGATGCCAAGGTTCAAAGATGAAATAGCAGCCCCGGTGAAATGACAATGTTTATGTACAAACAGCCACCTTTGCTCTGCAGCCAGCCTGCTGGCACAGTCAGTGCACGCGGGCTGAGGGGCGGCAGGCCAGGCGTGCACTCCACACGCACCAAGGCCTCTTTACAACTGCCGGCTTGTCACTTTGTAGGGTGTAAATAGCTCAGAGTGAAGATCTGGTCTCTACATCCATCTGCATACTGGGTGATTCCCTTGCCTGAGCAGTGCTTTCATCACTCCCCATACTCACTCTATGTCACAGCTGGGTTTCTGTAGCAGCATCCCAAATGTTTTCCCCACTTCTGCCCTTCCCTTGAAGAGAGTTGTTCTCTACACAGAAGCCAAAATTAACTTTAAGAAAAAAAGGAGAGGAGCTAGCATTGTGGCACAGCACGCTAAGCTGCTGCCTGCAATGCCAAGTCTCCCATGTAGGAGTGGCAGTCTGAATTCTGACTATCTTGCTCCTGAGTCAGCTCCCTGCTAAAGCATCTGGGACAACAGCAGAAAATGGCCCAAGTACTGGGGGACCCTGCCACGCACGTGCAAGACCTAGATGGAGTTACTGTCTCCTGGCTTTGGTCTGGCCTACTCCCAGCTGTTTCAACCATTTCCAGAGTGAATAATTCCATGGGAGAGTACGCTTGCCCTCGCTCTGCTGCTCTTTTAAATAAATAAATAAATCTTTCTTTAAGGGAGAAAAAAAAAATCATCACTCAGACCACCTTATTACTTCACTCAGAACTTCCTGGTGCTTGCTCAGCACCAGGTTCAGCCTGGGGCCCTCAAGGCCTCCATGGTGTGCTCAGCCGCACATGGGGCCCTTGCTGCTTGCGCCCTGAAGAGCTGACAGCCTGCACTCCAAGGGCACGCCAGGCAGCTCCCATGGACCAAGGCCCTCGCACCTCGGCCCTCCAAAGTTGCTGTTCTGGCTTATCTCAAGAAATGAACATCTCTCACCTCCTTTGTGTCTCTGCGATCCCATCGTCCCCCTTTTCTGCCTTCTAGAACCCACTGGTCTCTTTCCTTAGCCAGGAACTTGGTGGTTTCCCAAAGCCTTCCCTCCCCGCTTCTTTCACTTCCAGGGGCGACCAACAGCGGTGTCTCTCTGGAGTGACGGCTCCCTGACTCAGCTGCGAGCTGCGGCAGCCTGGCCTCTGCTCCTGGACTCCACAGCCTCTGCCTCCTCTCACACCGGCTCTCCTAGCCCACCCGCCTCCGCTCCCCGCCTGGGGCCT